GTAGAAATTTTTCATGTTCTTGGCCTCATAATTCTACTTCTGAAGCTCCACACAAGATATGAGCAAAGCTGTATGTATCAGAATGTTCATTCCAGCCTTACTGATCATAGCAGAAGGCAGAAAACAATGACAAGACCTAAGATCAGGGAGTGACTAAGTACAGAGGCTGGAAGGTGAAGTGCTTGAGAGTGGGAACTCCTGAGCCTGAGGCAGGGTTTAAATCATGTTCTGTTACTTCCTAGTTGTGTGGACTAGTGAGGACTGAAGCTTTCTGTGTGATCGTTTTTCCATCTGTAAAATGAGGATTATAGCAGTACCAAACTCATAGGATTGTGGGCATCAAGGAGCTCATAATATATTTAGAGCACTGCCTTGCACACAGTAAGCGTTCAGAGATGTTAGCGGCCATTATTGTTGTAGCTATGGAGATGTGGTTTATAGGTTTTTATTGAACATGAAAATGATCATAAAGTTAAGAACATATTATCAGTATGTTCTGAGTTACATAGAAACAATGCACATAAAAGGAAGGAAACACCTCAAAATCTTCTCAATTATCTCTGGGTGGGGGCCCATGAGTAATTTTTATTCTTTCAAGTTGTTTGCAAGATTTTCTATAGAGAACTTGTATCACTTTCATAACTGGAGGAAAATATTTATAGCTACCTGAAATAGATATTTGAATTTCTCAGGGGGAAATTTCCCTGAAGACCTCTAATGATAGAGGATTAGACCGTGAAGCTGGAATTATAGAATGCGCGAGTTCCGTTGTTGAGTAAAGGTAGAAGTGAGTTTGAAGTTAGTTGTTCTGTGTAGTGTCAGTGCATGTTCTGAGGCTCTGGGAGAGATGCTTTCTCTTATTTAGTCCCTCAAAGGTCCCTTGAATGAGTGACTGCAGTTGTGCCCATTTTGCTGCTGACAAAATCAGCGCTTAAAAATGAAATCCTCTGCCTGGGGCCGCACGGCCGGTGAGGGGCTGCGCACCTTGGCTTGCCTCCCAAGCCCTCCAAACCTGTTCTGTGGCGTCACTCCAGAGTTGGGACTTTCACTTAGTCAGACGTCTGCACATAACAAATTGTTTCCTGTTCTTAAACCCTATGCATACAAATACAGCCTTCTGTATGATGATCTTTATGATGGTCTGCAATCGTAGCTAGCTGGCAGGAGTTCCTTAACTAACTTTTTGCACACTGCTTGTGTTCCCCTCTCCTTTTGTTTTGAGACTGAGTCTCCCTCTGTCACCAGGCTGGAGTGCAGTGCCATGATCTTGGCTCACTGCAGCCTCCACCTCCCAACTTCAAGCGATTCTCCTGCCTCAGCCTCCCGAGTAGCTAGGACTATAGGTGTGTGCTACCATGCCCGGCTAATGTTTTATATTTTTAGTAGAGACAGGGTTTCACTGTATTAGCCAGGATGGTCTTAAGCTCCTGACCTCAGCCTCCCAAAGTGCTGGGATTACAGACGTGAGCCACTGTACCCGGCCCTGTGTTCCCATTTTTATGCATCTGGCTGATTCACTAGTACCTTTTATTATCCTTCTGTCTACCTGGGCATTGTTACTTGACCTGAATTATCTGAAATGACTAGTTACTTTCAGGACAAAATGTGATTTTTATAACTTCTTTCTATAACTTAAATATCACCTAATGTATGTGATTTTTAAAAAATACATGATATTTTGGCCGGGTGTGTGACTCACACCTGTAATCCCAGCACTTTGGGAGGCTGAAGCATGTGGACCACTTGAGATCAGGAGTTCAAGACCAGAATAGCCAACATGGTGGAAACCCCTTTTCTACTAAAAATACAAAAATTAGCCAGGTATGGTGGTAATACACCTGTAATCCCAGCTACTGGGGAGGCTGAGGCATGAGAATTACTTGATCCTGGGAGGTGGAGGTTGCAGTGAGCTGAGATTGTGGCACTGTACCCCACCCTGGGCAACAGAGTGAGACAGTCTCAAAAACAAAAAAGAAAGCTTCAATTCCGCATTACAGAGAAGCTGGACTGTTTTTCCCCCAAGTAATAACTAAGCTAGAGATACATGAAAGAGAGTAAATGAGAATAAAAGCATCTGGCTGGACATGGTGGCTCATGCCTATAATCCCAGCACTTTGAGAAGCCAAGGCAGGAGGATCACTTGAGGGCAGGAGTTTTGAGACCAGCCTCGCCAATCCCTGTCTTACCAGAAATTAAAAAAAAAATTAGCCAGGCATGGTGGTGCACACCTATAGTTCCAGCTACTCCAGAAGCTGAGGTGGGAGGATCGCGTGAGCCAGGGAGGTTGAGGCTATGAGTTGTCCTCACACCACTACACTTCAGCCTGGGCAACCAAGTGAGATCCTGTCTCAAAAAAGATTAAATATTGAGCAAATAATCTTGCAGAAGCAACATCTGGGAAGAAAAGATAGAAGAGAACCTGAGTCAATGATTGGTCTCACTCCACTGGTAAAAATGTTCAGACATTGACATTCCTAAGACAGCCAGTAGTGGTTCTGGTCTTTGCCAGTTAAGAGGCTTATCGCCAGGCACGATGCCTCACACCTGTAACCCCAGCACTTTGGGAAGCCAAGGCGGGTAGATCATCTGAGGTCAGGAGTTTGAGACCAGCGTGGCTAACATGGGGAGACCCTGTCTCTACTAAAAATACAAAAATTAGCCAGACTTGGTGGCACATGCCTGTAGTCCCAGCTACCAGGAGGCTAAGACGGTAGGACAATCACTTGAACCTGGGAGGTGGAGGTTGCCGTGATCCGAGATCATGCCACTGTTCTCCAGGCTGGATGATTGAGTGAGACTCCATCTCAAAAAATAAATAAATAAAATAAAATTTTGAAAAAGGGGCATATCGCACTGCTTTTGCTTGGTAACTTTCTCCTTGTGGCCCTTACATTGGGTGGGGGATGGAGAAGAGGGGAGCGACACATTTGTGAGAGATAGAAAATTCAGCTCTCCCAGCAGTGCAGGGCCAAGGCAGATCATTGATTAGTAACTGTCTCTCTGGTAAGACAGGCCTGGCCAGGTGTCCAACTGGTCCCACAGGACCCTGGGCACGCTGGTCCCTCAACTCACGAGCACCTTTCCAGAGTTCTTCCTCCCTTCCAGATTGTCACCGCCTCCTCTGTGAGCTTACCCATTTCTGCCTCCCAGCTCAGTGTTAGTGCTCTCTAAGGTTCTATCCTAATCCTCTGCTCTTCACTCACTGCTGTCACTGGGGAACCTTTTTTCTTGCCTTTGCTTCTACTAACAGATCTGTCTCCTGAGCCACGAGCCCCTGCTGGACACAGCAAGCACAATCTTGACCATTTATCAAGCATCTGCTCTGTGCCAGCCATTTTGCTAGAGGCTATTTCTTCAGGTGTAATTTACAAACAGTGAAAAGCACAGGCCTTACATGGGACAGTTTAGTGCATCTGGACAAACATGATATCAACATACCAACACCCAATTCTATACTTTGTCTTTTAAAAATTTCAAGTCAACTCAAATTGTGATTCTCATTTTTATAGTTGAAGAAACACACTAGCTAGATGAAGATGAGTGATTTGAGTGAGGTCACACATTAAATTTATGGGGGAGCTAATTACAGTTACAATACTGATTTGACTTTTCTAGAAGGTAATACCCTTCTTTGTATGATAAGAACTCAGCATGAACAGTAAGAACCCAGCATGTTCAAAGCTGCACTTGGCGTTTCTTTGATTCAATTAGAGCTATTAATTCCTAACTATCCTATATAAAAAGGGAACTTAATTGGTTCATGTAACAGAAAAGTCCAGGAAAATCTTCAGGCACAGTTTGATAAAGGCTCACATATCAGAGCTCCATTTTTCTCACAGTACTTCTGGACTCTGCTTCCTCTGTTTTGAGTTAATATTAGGGGCACTCTTTCCTCACAGTGGTCAGAGGCCTCCTCAGCTCCCCTACAGACTCATTTAAATCTTGCCAGGAAGGAGGAGGGAGGGGAATTAGACAATGTGCTTAAGTCAATATCTTATTCCTACTTTTCCCTGGAATTCTTTTACCCAGTATTAAAAATTCTGGTGTCAGGGTGTTATAATAAATATGTATAGTGTAGTGACTTTATAATTCTTTTAATAGAGAAAGAATGAAATCTAGGGCCGCATGCAGTGGCTCACACCTATAATCCCAGCATTTTGGGAGGCTGAGGCGGGCGGATCACCTGAGGTCGGGAGTTCAAGACCAGCCTGGCCAACATGGAGAAAACCCGTCTCTACTAAAAAAAAAAAAAATTAGCTGGGCATGGTGGCAGGCACCTGTAATCCCAACTACTCAGGAGGCTGAGGCAGGAGAATCACTTGAACCCAGGAGTCAAAGTTGCGGTGAGCCGAGATTGCACCATTGCACTCCAGCCTGGGCAACAAGAGCAAAACTCCGTCTAAAAAAAAAGGAACGAAATCTGTTTAAAGAGAGGTTCTATTTGTTCATTTACTTCTCTAAGCATATGTTTTCATTCTCAATGATCATATTTGGCCATAAAATCCGGAAGACAGTTTATAAATTTAGGGAAAACACAGGAAAGAAACCAGCTTCCAGACCGACATATTGCCAAAAACCTAAGACAATATTGTGCAGTACAATTTTACAATAGTTTTTTTTTTTTCTAAATGTGTTATAGTTCAATCAGATAGTCAATAAGAAGAAAATTACTTCACTATGAATTATAAAAAGAATGTTTAGTATAAGCCAGGGATTTTTTCCTTCTGCCCTGTGGGACCAGTTGGACACCGGGCCAGGTTTGTCTTGCCAAAGAGACAGTTACCAACCAATGACTGCCTTGGCCCTGCATTGCTGGGAGAGCTGAATTTTTGTATCTATCTCATAGATGTATCTCTCCCCTCTTCTTCTCCATCCCCCACCCAAGGTATCCTCTTCTTCTCCCCAAAATATTATTTTTTATTAGATGAAACGACTTCATTGAAAAGTGGTTTCCCCCAAAACACTAAAATGTTAACTGTTGCTCTCCTCAATGCTTCTAGGGAATGGAAGACATCCTACGCTGCTTCATCAAAGAAGGCAATGCCGAAATGATCCGCCAGATAGAATTCATCATCAAGCAGCTTAATTCCGGTCAGTTTAATGCAAGATTCTTTGATCTCTCTTTTGAATTGTTCACATTTGCCAGCAAGACACATGGCCTTTTATTCAAGAGGCTTTTAGGAGGCCGGGCGCGGTGGCTCACATCTATAAGCCCAGCACTTTGGGAGGCTGAGGCAGGTAGATCATGAGGTCAGGAGTTCGAGACCAGCCTGACCAATATGGTAAAACCCTGTCTCAACTAAAAATACAAAAATTAGCCTGGTGTTGTGGCATGCGTCTGTAGTCCCAGCTACTCGAGAGGCTGAGACAGGAGAATCTCTTGAACCCAGGAGGCAGAGGTTGCAGTGAACAGAGGTTGTGCCACTGCACTCCAGCCTGGGTGACCAAACAAGACTCCTTCCCCCACCCAAAAAAAAAAAAAAAGCCTTTAGGGAGGTGGGGAGACCCAAATGAATCCACAGATAAAAGTTCAGCCAGGTAGTGAAGGCCACATTGTCCAAAGATTAACAATCTCTTATCATACTCTAGGCATATAGTCAACAAAAAGAACTTAAAAGCATTTCCAGAAACCCCTCCCTAACCTTGTAAGTTCTCTTTATGTGGCCTTTCCCTTTCCACTCCTAAATCCTGCCCCACTATTAAGGTGGCTTCCCCAGGGTCCTGGAGTCAGACAATGAAAACAAATGCACTGTAAGAAACTACATTATCTTCCCACATTTTTCATTCACTCTGGAAAAATTGATGTTGCCAGCTACAGTGTGGAAGGAGCCAACGTGATACCCTATTTTTTTGTGTGTGACGGAGCTTGCCCTGTCGCCCAGGCTGGAGTGCAGTGGCATGATCTCGGCTCACTGCAACCTCTGCCTCCCGGGTTGAAGTGATTCTCCTGCCTCAGCCTCCCAAGTAGCTGGGACTACAGGTGCCCACCACCACGCCTGGCTAACTTTTTGTATTTTTAATTGAGACAGGGTTTCACCATTTTAGCCAGGATGATCTCGATCTCCTGACATCTTGATCTGCCCACCTCAGCCTCCCAAAGTACTGGGATTACAGACGTGAGCCACTGCACCTGGCAATACCCTTTCTATCCTGCCTCCTCCATTACCATAACAACCCATATCCCATAGTAAGCAGAAGAGAGGAAGGCCAGGAAGCCTGGGATGGGGCAGAGGTGGTGAGGAAAGCTCTTTGGCTCTTTCTGTGAACTGACTTGTTCACCTGCCAGAGGTACCAAGCACCGCCAGAATCTGGGCCAGGTTTGTCGCTGTGTCTCTCTCCATGTCCTTCCCTGATACCCAGCAGTCCACGTCACTGCAAGTCAAGTGCATGAATCCTTTCCGCACAACACAAGCAGAAAGTGAGGAGTGAGTCTCCTGGTCCCTACTCACAGGTCTCAGCTGCTCAGCCAAGGCCGGAAGCCCTCAGGTGGCCTTTCTTCGAGCTCAGGGTTCACAGTCTGGCTGTACAGGGTGGTCACCTGGGGGAGATATTTAAATCTTTAAGACAGCACCCCACACAAATTTAATCAGAATCTCTCAGGGAGGGGATTTCAAGCTCCCAGGGGAGTCCTACATGCAGCCAAGCCAGAGCATTACTGATGCCTGGGTCGCAGAAACGAGAATGTCCAAGGGGCTTCCAATCAAAAGGAGGCAGCTGAGGAGAGTAGCCAGGGAGCTTTGAAACCTTTGTCCTTGTGAGGCTGGGTCTCAATTTACGTTGAATATCTCTGGGTTGTATGGAGGAGCTATAATTCATCCCAAAAGAACTTTATTTTCTGCCAGTAACTTCATTTCTGACTCTCAACCTTCATTCTAGCATATTGAAAAATAAAATAAAACCTGAAGCTCAGTCCTGCCTGAGGTTGCTCTCTCGCCTTCTCTGGGCAGGCCACAGCATCGGGGGAGGGGAGGATTGTTGCATCTGCACCATAGTCATGAGCTGTGCCCAGCCCTCCCAGGCCAGGAGTTCTCTGCATTCAGACTGAGAATATTCTTCAAGACCACCTGTGTGTTTTAGTCCACTGAGATACATCTGTCTCCTTGTCTTCCCTCCTTCCTGGCAGCCAAGCAGCAGGACGCAGTCCCCTTTTACTCTCTAGCCCAACAAACATCTTTTTCTCTTACATAAGCGTGGCCCTTGGATGAGCCTGCTTATGGGATGAGGAGACACTTTACACTTTTGTAAGGGATGTCTCTGGAAGAAATTGTCTTGGGCAGAGCTAAAGCTTTATAACCCTGGGTACTCTGGAAGGCTTGGGAAATATCTACTTAGCTCATCAAGTTATTGTTTCAATAAAGAGGGCCTAAAGTATTTCTCTTTTGATCTCAAGCACCTAAGTTATCTGTATCCACATAGGAGCCCACCACTTTGAAACACAATTTCATAGTGATTGAACATTGGTTGGAAGACCAGACATACAAGTGCTTAGGATATCCATCACCAGCATCAAATCAAAGTGGAACCCAGAAGGGAGCCTCCGTCCTGTCTTCATCCTCACGTGGAAATTAATAGCAGAGTGCAAATTGTTGCTAGTTTACCAGTTCTGAAGATGTATGAAATGGCATTGCCACCATCTTTATTTAGACTCTGCGTTTCCTTGTTTTATTTTAGTAAACATGAAAGCATCTCTGTGGGTTTTCACACATCCAAGCCCAGTCTCAGTCTTCTAGAATGATTTTTTCAGTAAAGTTTTAAGGGTCTTCAAGTATTAAAATTCAAGTATATTTTACTGACCTAACCCCACAGGTGGGGAAGGACTATTCTGGCAAAACCTAAAGGAAAATTCTATCTAGTGACATTGACAATGCAGGGTGAGCTGCCAGCAGCAACAGCAGGGAGATTTGTCCCTGGCTTGGGCCTGGACCACGATGCCAACCCTCAGCAAGGGGAACCAGCACCAGAGAGACAACAGAGGCACCAGCCAGGTCACTGGGCAGGAGCAAGGCAGAGCACCCAGGAAAGGAATGATATTGGCCATTCTAGCCCCACACATGTTAGTTATCAGAGTGCAGGCACCTGTTGGAGTGTGCACCAGGGAACAGGATGGGAGACAGTCGTCCCAGAGAGGAGCTGAGGTCTATAAAGCACTTCACTTCTCAGGCCAGGTTATTTTGGTAGTGGGATGAGTCTGAGCCCGCAGGCCAAGAAGCTATGGGGTCAGGAGGAGGGGAGCTGGGCAGAGGAAGCAGAGAAAGAGAAGTGTGGCTGGGCTGTCTGTTGCCTTACAAAACAGCCAAGAGTCTTAAAAAAGGCATTTCTGTATTCTAAAATGAGCTGTTTATAACTGCTAAGTACAGCGGCGCTTCCTGATGTTGGAATGATGTATGCTGTTCATGGATAGGGAAGTTAGTCGTTAAACCTCAGCCAGAAAGCAGAGTGGCATCACGTCTTCATGTCTGCAAAGTAGCTTTCTAGACTACATGACATTCCACAACAATGCTGCGACATGGGGGCCTACAGGCCCCAGTGAGGGGGGCCACTTGGTGTCCCCCTGTACTCAGTCCAGTGAAGTCAGTGGAGTCCTTCCCTTTAGAATGAGGGCTGGGTTGAGAACATGGGTTTCTAAGTCTTCCCTCCTGGGAAAGGTTTGGTGTTTGATCAAATGTGGGTGCATCTGCCTGCCACCTTTACAAGCTGGGTGCTTTCTTCAAGCATGGCCTTTGGTCCCTTCTTTTCTCCTACTTCCTGTTTGACTTCCTTTCTTCTTTCAGGCTTTCTTTACCTTCATGTCATTTGTTCAAGAAGCAAGTGCTAATAAGGAAGATGTAGTAGGGATAGAGGGAGGAGTAAGTCAGCTGCTCTGTCCCCAGGGAATCACAGTCCAGTGCAGTGGGTGGGAGATGCGTCGGCGGGCATTCATTTGTTAGTAAGCAGCAATCTTCCAGAAGTGGTGTGAACTGTCAGGAGTTCTAGACAAAATTCCAAGTGTGTTCAGGGGAGGAAGAGATGGCTGCTGAGTAAGGGGATCAAGGAAGGCTTCGTGGAGGAGAAAGTACCAACACCTCTGTAGTGCCTGCTTCATACCTGGCCCTGGGCCAGGTGCTTTCCTTGTGTACTGTGCAGTCCTCCCGACAACCCTGAGAAGTGGCTGGTACAATCCCCATTCTACAGGGCAGGAAGCAGGGGCTCTTTCTTTCTGTAACTCCATTGTGCTACTAACTTATCGCTCTTTTGTAAACTCTTAAAAGATCTCGCAATCGACTACAGAGCCTTCAGGAACCCTACCTGCCATGACCACCACCCATGCCGCCCATGGAAAAATCATGGAGTTTAGAAATAGACTTGGCTTGAGTCTCAGCTCTGCCATTTACTGGAAGTGAGACCAAGGGGAAGTCTCTGTCCTCTCTGTGTCTCTCTGTAAAATGGGGGATGATAGTCAACAAAATACGTGGAAGGATTAAGTGAAATAACAGGTGTGGCAGGATCTAGCATGATGCCTAGAAATAAATATTTGTTTACTTTCTTTCCCCTAAATTATCCTAAAACTATATGCTGGCTTTAATACTATAACCGTGTTCTGGCAAAAATGGAGAGATTTACTATTTGAAATTGCTTAGGATGATGTCATGGTTAGGAGCATGGTTACTCTGATGTAACCTCATTCTCATTAAGGTGTTTATGTCTCTGCAGAGGCTGACGGATCCCATGGACCAAGGCTTCCGCTTTATCCATTATTCATTGATTCTTATTTTCTTTATAGAAGAGCTACCAGATGGTGTTCTTGAATCTGATGATGATGAAGATGAAGATGATGAAGTAAGTTGGAGGTTCTTGACACCGCATAGAAAACTCATACCAAACTATTTTCTCTTTCCTGCCTTGACAAGTTAGTCCAGAAGTGGAGATTTTTAATTCCTGCTATATACTTCTCACAATTCTGAGGGTTGGCTAAAGCTCAGCTGGGTGGTATTTCAGGTCTCACTTGGGGTCTCACGTGGAGGGCCCAGTGGCCATGTTTGAAGACCCCGACACTCCCTGGGTTCACAGCAGAGATGCCAGATTGCACGTCATTCGGGTTTCATGGGAAGCTGGACAATGAGCATCCTTCTACGTGAGCTTTTGCTCTGCGCAGGCATGAGCCTGGCCCGTCTTCCTCACCGGTGGGAGTGCTGGGTGGGTAGGTGCCTGGCAAGAGTCTCTGGCATGAGGGGTCCTGGGTTCAGTTCAGAGCTGACGGAACTGACCTATTTACTCTGTGATTTGCCTTCTTTTGATTTATGTTTCCTCAGCTGTGAAAAATGTACTTACCTGGTATTTTAGATCAGGAAGGTTCAGAAGTTAATGTGTGTGAGTCTGAATGGTGTAAAGAATGGTGACTCAGGAACTGTGGTTGGATTTTCAGATGACAGGATTTTACATGGTTTTCCTTCAGACACCTAGAAAGAAAAGTCCCCTCTGGTCACACGTGACTTGCCTGCCTTCAGTGTGCGGGGAGCAGTTAGCCTGCAGTGAATGCTGGAGCATGTTTTCATCTGTTTGGGCGGGGAGCATTCACTGAAAAAGAGGATGTCGAGGATGTTCTTTTGTTTGGAGTTTATAAAATGTGTAAAAGCCAAGTTTTTGATCACCAATGGCATCCGTTGGGAAAGAGGTACTTAAGAGCCCCGTGCTGAGATCTGGAGACGCTTCCTCAGCAGGTGGCTGCGGTGCCTGCAGCTTTCTTCATGGGCTGCAGGTGGCATCAGCGGGTGGTGCTCCTGCTGGCTCTTCCTGCCTTGTCCAGCAGTGCAGAGCTTGATTCCAGACAGGGGGCCTGGCCATCATCTTCTCCAGGCCCCTTGGTTTACCAAGGTGGAGCCAGAGGGAAAAACACCAGCTTGAACTCACACAGAGAGTGGATGGTGGGAAAATCAGGTTGCGAACAGGAGTCGGCAGACACTTGCTGTGAAAAAGAAGATAGGAACTATTTTAGGGCCTGCAGGCCACAGCCTCTGTTCCAGCCACTCAGTTCTGCCCTTGTAACACACAGTGGCTGTAATAAGTCGCTGAATGTGCATAAGTCGCTGAATGTGGCTATGTTCCTATAAAACTATTTGTGGACACTAAAAATTTGAATTTCGTACAATTTTTGTATGTCATTAAATATTTTTTTCAAATATTTAGAAACACAAATATCATTCTTAGCTGGCAGGCTTAGGAAAGCAGGCATCTGAAGCTTGGGCCAGGGTTTGCCAGCCTCTGGGCAGTTCTGGACTCTGAAGCCTTCTGTTGGTTGTAATCAGTCACCACCTTTGTGCCTCTCCCTTCAATATCATTCTGTGTGATTGTTTAAATGAAGGTTTAATTATTTGGTTTTAACAACTTTTTTTCATTGTGTCCAAAAGTTCTTCTCAAGATTTGTTTTTTTCCCTTCCTGTATCATCCCTTTGGGTCTTTTGGTCTGCTTTGGTTTTCCGTTTTGCTTTGGTTTTGCTATGAATCCTCTGTTTTCATCTTATAAGGGAAAATTCATTTGGTTCAGCTGTTCTGGTTAATGATGAGAACTCAACTTTTGGACATTTCCTTCTGAAAGCTATTGTCTACTACAAATGAACAAATACAGAAAGAAGTCTTTTAATTTTCTGGACTTTTGCCATTCTTTTAAGAGGCTGATATTTGAAAATGCTTGTGATAGCTAGAATTTTCAGAAGATTCCTAGAAGAGGTTTAGTTGGAAAAGTATAAGGAAAGGATCTGTCATTTGGGCCAAATGGGACTCTGTGATGAGTTCTGGGCAGTAGATGAGGGCTCCTTCTCCCAGGTAGGCCTCACTGGGCATCGCCAGGGTCAGCAGGGGCAGTCCGGGCACAGCCGATCTTGTCTGGGTTTTACTCAGCTTTTACCGGGACAAGCATTATGTTTATAACTACCTTTCAGAGTTGGAGGGAAGAAAGAAAGAAACAGATCTTAGGCTAAAGGGAAATTTCCAAGAATTCTTTGAGAAGCAGCACTGTTGTTGGAATGTGGTTATCACTTCCCAAGGTGACAGCTCTGAAGGAGACAGCAAAATTATTTGCAAGGTGTTGAAGTCATACCTTATCCTGCTTAGCAGTGTAAATTTTCTTTCATTTAATATTTAGACTCCAAACACAGAAAATGAAACCACTGTTTCAGTTTGCTGCTTAGCGACTCTAAAGATAAATGGTTCTAATGGGGCCAGGCACGGTGGCTTACACCTGCAATCCCAGCACCTTGGGAGGCCCAGGCAGGCGGATCACTTGAGGCCAGGAGTTAAGAGACCAGCCTGGCCAACGTGGTGAAACCTCATCTCTACTAAAAATACAAAAATTAGCTGGTTACGTTGTGGCGTGCACCTGTAATCCCAGCTACTCAGGAGGCTGAGGCACGGGAATCACCTGAACCTGGGAGGCGGAGGCTGCAGTGAGCCAACATCCTGCCACTGCACTCCAGCCTATGCAACAAAGCAAGACTCCATCTCAAAAAAAAGTGGCTCTAGTGGGATGAGGCCTGAGGCCAGGGTAAATTATGCTCACTATAACTCACACTGAGCTGAAATCTGTGTACCCACAACTTCCACCACTACTAGTCCTCCACTGGAAGCTCTCAAGAACACCCTCGATGCAAAGTCTAGTTTTTCTCTCTAATTTGTAGTGACTTGATCTAACATGGTAACCTAACAAAGTTACGCCTGAATGTACATACATTTATACACTCAAATTAAAAATGTAAAGGTAGAGTTAGACATGCATATTCTGATTTATAGACTATCTAGGATATAATGTCAAATAAAAAAGGAAATCATAAAGTAATTGACCAGTGATTTCAGTAAAATAAAATGTATAAACACTCATAGCTGTGGATTATAGATTTGCTTATGTAGCAAAAAGGCGTGGAAAGTTACACCCTCTTTGTTGACATTAGAAACGGCAAGGGGGGAATAGGAATAAGGAAGTTTGGGTGAGAAATGCAGAGAGGCCCAGAGGCCTCTCAGCGGAGAGAAGTGAGAGCAGGACATGGGGTTTAGTGGCGCAGAAGTCAGTTGCTGTGCATTTTTGTGAGTTGATGGAGCAAAAGCCAAATGAATGGATTGAGGAGCAGGTAGGAAGTGAGAAAATGGCATAAGAAGTGTGTGCTGCTCCTCCCCAGTCTGGCTGTGCACCGAAGAGCCATGGTGGCTGAATTTTTGTTTGTTTGAGATGAAAGAAACTTAAGCATGTTAAAATGCTGGTGGATAGCTCCAGATAAGAGGGAGAGCTTCAACATGCAAGGTAGGGAGAGCCTAGAAGATGGCATCGAAAAATTGGGTGTTTTCTTTATTTCCTAAATCACAATACTTTCTTGGCCCACAAGGCCCCAGACCCATTTAAACCTCCTGAGAAAGAAATCCATCATTAGATCAGCTTGGACAATACACCCCAGGGAATGGACAACGACAGCTGTTATTTAAGGGTTCAAATGCATCTCATTTAGCACTTTCGAGAAATGTGTTACCTGATGCATTTATTTCATATTAAACAGACGTAATATGTTACAAAAGGGCTGATGGTAAATCACTAAGTTTAGGAGGCTGGTTCCATTGTTCTCACCTCCAGTGGCTACGTGTTCCTTACCATATCACAGCTAGCTTCCTTGTGTGGCTTCGTGAAGTAGAAATGCAAGGCCTTTCTGTGCTATTCTAGAAGACTGATTTTTAAGACAAATGTTCTTCCCCCTTGTCAAAATAGGTTTAAGTGCCAGGTGAGGTTAGACATGGACATTTACTTGCTGGTTGCCATGTAAGTGACAATTATATGCTCAGCAATCTCCTTCTGTACAGACTGCTCAAATCTGAGAGTTGCCCATTTATTTACTCAACAAATATTTGAGGTCCTCGAAATAACACTGTTGTGGGAACTAATGGGGAAGGGATGCAAAAGAAATCTAAAAGAGTGTCTGTGGTTTAAAATACCTCCAAGAGTTTCCAGCCTAGATAGGGAAGATCACGGTGATCCTGACAACAGCCGCTCCCGCCTGCTGGCATTGCCACGTGCTAGGTTCCTCATGGGTGTTCGGCCACCTCCTCTTCATAGCACCCCTGTAGTAAGTGCTATTTTATTCACATTTCACAGATGAGGAGACAGAGAGAAAATAGGTCACTTGCCAAGTTCACACAGCTAATAAGTAACTGATGAGGCTGGGATTCAAACCCAGGTGGTCTGACTCAGCGGTCCGTGCTCCTAACCACTGCCCTGTGTTGCCTTCTTGTGAGACATACATGAATGCAAAACAGCAAATAATAGAAAATAAGTATGTGATTACAGGTTCATCAAGGTGATAGACACAGGAAGTGCTGCAGAAGTTCCAAGTACTCCAGGAATACAGGGAGATGGCTGTCTGGAGCAAGACATTGCCTAGCCTGGGATGGAGAGGAAGTGAAATGGGTCGAGGAAGGGAAGGGTGTGGTCAGGAAAGCAGTGTGGCATCCTCTATGGGAGAAAGCGCAAGCACAAGCTTTATCCTTTGCCCCTCCACTGCAGTCACATCAGCACCCCACCAAGAAACTCATGTTAATGACTTATGTGCACGTGCTTTCATACTTAAAGATGCGCACACAGAGAACACAGAGATATGTACTGTTCACAGATCGGTATATACTTTTGTCAATTTTTTTTTTACAAAATGAGATAACATGGAGATAGAAGCACACATACTTCTATACCATGTTGCCTTTTTCTCTTGTTAATGTTTCCGGAAAATCCTTCTGAGTTAGGCAGTGTAGCAAGTTGATGCTTTTTAATGCTATGAATGTATAATTTTCTAGATTTTTGCTACTTCAAACAATGTGGTAGTAAAATCTTTGTAAAAATATCCTTATTTACCAGAGCTTTTATTTTTACGGGCTTTTGCTGCTGGATCAAAACTTATGTG